TTAATCCCTAACTATCTCTCTGAGTGGCAGAGAATAGAATAACGTGCGTCTCTCTATTCTTAGGGTTTTCAAATCTTATATTAAAAAAAACTCTCTTCGATAGAAAGATATTTTTTTTTAATATAAAATAAATTAAATAAAAAATTATTTAATTAAAATAATTATCAATTATTTTAAAACTGAATAATTTATCTATTATTTAATACACCCTTAACTTTCCAAATAATTAGGGCACTACAGGGACCTCAGGAATAAAATAAATCAGGCTACTAATTATAATAATAACCTATGTAGACCAACATATTCTTATTATAATTAATCATGAATTATTCCACTACTTAAAAATCTTCTGGACTGAATCCTTTATTTATTTTACAATTCACAACATAATAAAATTAATGTTTCCCGCGTTAAGATTCAGATGCTGTTCATTTTAAATAACTACTGACAATTTATTTAAAATCACAATATAACTTTTAAATTGTTCGCTCAATTTTTTCTGGTCGGATCAAAGCCACCTGCGGTTTACACTATGATAACCTTATAAGCTTACTTAAAGTGCACTCATCAATCTCTAACCGAGACATTGATCTATCATTAATTAATTATTGTCACAAACACCACCAAAAACATTCTTGCCCCCAATTCAACCAATCGCATGAAGAACTATTATCTCCAGTATAAATGAAAACCACATCCTCTTAAATACATTCAACAGCAACGTACCACGACCAATCAAATCGTTTTGTCATCATCATATAAAACAGCACAAAGCAAGTAACTTCCCAAACAGATCAAAACTCAATATCATTTCAAAGTCTATAGCAGAGATCGTATACTGCGCTTCTCCCTCCCATCACAGTCAGTATTAACACATCCATTATCTTCTACCTTTCCTCACTAAATACATATCAAAAAAAGAATGTCTGACCAATAATCACAATCTTATTTTCCATCTTCATGCCTATATACCCACATTTATCATTTCTATGCTATACTTTCAATTTAACATACTAATCAGAAATATCACATTAACAAAATAGAAAACAATCACTCTCACCTATGCCCTGCTTTACATACCTTACATTATGCAAATGGGTTAATAGTATAATCTCCTATGCAATTCTCCCACTTTCAAGACGCAGAACCATGCATCAATCTTAACCTTGGTACACTCTCCAATTCCTTCTACATGGACTTCAAAAGCTTTCTGGTAAACTTTTTGTTCAAACAGGATCTGCCAGGTGTTTTCCGATGCAATCTTTTCACTACCCACATCTCCCCTTTAACTAGTCTTGCGTATCAAATGACATTACTTCTCTCTCAATGTGTTTGCCTTAATGGTCGCGTCTGGCTCCTATCGACTGTTTGCACAACTGCGCCCACTATTATCAATCAAAGTGATATAGAAGCCAATTGCACTGAAGAAACTCGCCTAATCCATAATGGAAGTTCCTTAAGCCAATACCACGCATTCTCTGCACAAGCTTGGCAATTGCACTGAAGAAACTACGCCTAGATCCATAAGGAAGTTCCTAAGCCATACAGCTTCCTTTGCAGCTTCAGAAGCTGCCACATATTCAACTTCCATGGTGGAGTCAGCAACACAAGTTTGCTTAATACTCCTCCAACTTATGGCTCCACCTCCCAAGACAAAAGCATTACCAGAGGTTGACTTCCGAGAGTCCTTATCAGTCTGAAAATCCGAATCTGTATACCCAATGGGTACAAGATCGTCAGATTGATAAACTAACCTATAATCCCTAGTCCTTTTCAAGTACTTGATAATATGCTTGACTGCAGTCCAGTGTTCTCGCCCAGGATTAGATTGAAATCTGCTAACCATGCCAACAGCAAAACAGATATCAGGTCTGGTACAAACAGTCATACGATAAGCTTCCAATGCAATAGAGCATTGTGAACTGCTCATGTTCTCTATTCTCCTCAGGGGTCTTAGGACATGGTCCCTATATAGATAAATTGGTCCTTAGATAGAGTGATTCCATGTCTGAAGGGAAGAAAACCCTTCTTGGAATCCTGCATGCTGAAACGAGCAAGAATGGTATCAATAAAAAGTGCTTGAGATAAGCCAATCATCCTTTTCTTGCGATCTCGCATAAGCTTAATCCTAAGAATATGAGCAGCCTCTCCCAAATCCTTCATATCAAAACGTTGGGACAGCCAATCTTTGACAGAATTCAACATACCTACACAATTCCCTATAAGCAGAATATCATCCACATATAGTACCAAAAAACAACCTTACTACCATTCCATTTCTAATACACACAAGACTCATCATGACACTGATCAAAGCCAAAACTTTTAATCGCTTGGTCAAAACAAGTATTCCATGACCTAGATGCTTGTTTAAGCCCATAAATGGACCTATTCAATTTGCAAAGCAAATTTTCTTGTCCATTGTCCTTCTGGTGCTTCATATAGATGCATTCATCAAACTTCCATTTAGAAAACCTTGTCTTTTGACATTCCATTTGCCAAATCTCAAATCATAATGAGCTTGTAATGGATTAGAAGAGTTCTAAAACTTTAGCATGGCTTACTGGTGAAAAAGTTTCCTCATAATCAATCCTTCTTTTGTAGTAAACCCTTCGCAAACAAGCCTTCCTTATACAGTTTGCACTTTACCGTTCTATACCCCTTCTTTTTCTTACTAGACATCCACTTGCATCGATGGGGTTTAACCCCTCAGTTGGTTCTACAATTTCCCAGACTGATTTAGAGACAGGATCCATCATCAGATTTACATAGCTACAAGCCACTTCATCAAGCATCTTTATCTTGTAGTGCTTCATCGTAACAGACAGGTTTTCATTATATTCACTTCTCTCAGGGATTCTATCAAACCTTCTTCCCAAAAAGGTATAATCGAACCCGTGTCGTCTAATTCTCCCACTACGAGAGAAGTACTACAGTTCTCAATCACACCTTCATCTTGCCTTGGCGTAAAGCCGGCAAGTCCTGAATTGGACTGGTGGGACACATCTGATCATTGTTCTAACTTCAACATGCTCTTCATCACCAGAGAGGCAATGAAATGTAGAAGCCCCAACATTGTGCTCTATTATTTGGATCAAACACAGCCTGCTCACTTCAGTTTCTATGCATAAACTCCCACTCTTTCATGTAGTGGAAATGTAGTACCTGAATATTCAGCTGATTTGATTTACTGGCTCGACTAACATTTTCCACTACAACAGGCAAGGAATGTCAGCTCCAAAACCATTTGATTGTTAGGTTGTTTTCTTAATGGAAAGGTTCTAGTGGTATATTTTTTCCTTCTCAATTACATACAAGGCTAATTGCTTTGGATATGTTTTTAATATAGTCCTCCTCAAGATAATGTGCATTCGGTGCTAACAATGACCGTTTACTATTCTTGAGAACTATAAAATAAACCCACCTTTCGTTCCTCTAGATATCCCAATAAAGACGCAATAAGTCTGGTTTGATTCCAACTTATCTGCTTTCCCTGTTCAGCACATGGCTGACACCCCACATACCGAACAGTCTAGACTTGGCTCCTCGCCCATTCCAAGTTCTGTAGGAGTTTTAGATCACTGGACTTAGATGAACCAAATCAGAATATATTTGTGTTACCTATGCAACCCCCAAAACGCAAATGCAAATCTGAATAACTCATCTTGATCTAACCATTTTCATTAAGCTCCTATTCTGCTTTTTCTGACCACCATTTTGTTTGGCAAACCAGTAGCCAACAACTTGAGTTAATCCTTGTTCTGGACGTTAAATAAGTAATGAATTCCCTAGGAGGATTCGCCACCATCGTCAGACCGTATAACTAATCTTGTATATATTTCCATGTCGTTCTTGCCTTAACTTTCTTTAAAATTTCTCAAACATTCAGACTTACGGCCGCACAGTTGTAAATGCTATCCATCATTGAGTTAATCAATCGTGTGAAATCACAAAATACTCAAAAACCACCCCTAGCTTGGACACTCATTGGACCCACACAAACTAGAATAATTAATTCAAAGTACATCATTTAGTTCTTATTACCCCTTTATAGGAAAAGCCTCTTAGTCTTTTTACCTTCAACAAGAATCACAGTTGTAGTGCCTCCCTTTCAATGACTCATGCCATCCTTGAACCAACCTAGAAAATCCTATCTTAAATTAATATGACCAAGCCTTAAATGCCACAAATAGGTATGACGAAATTCCAATAGGACGTTTATCTTTTTCAATGGAACCATACCACAAGTTTATTAACTTCAAGATATGAGGAATTGCAGTTCAGGTGAAATTGAAATAAAAGATCAGCATCATTGAGCCAGGAATCAATATTCATTGTTTCTATTAAAACGACAAATCATCATAAAATATTAAACAAACCGAATATCCATTCTTGCTCAAACTATGAAACTTAATTAAATTCCTTCTAATTTGAAGGTTACATTATAAACATCCCATCAAAAAAAATGTTCTATTATTCTCAAAATGCAAAGAAAAGCATTCCTAATAGCTAGAACTGCAACTTCATGTCCACTCTCCCAGAAAATGCTTTACATCTCCTTTAATTAGCTGATGAGTTACTGAAACCCCTTGCCCAATGAATTGCAGACAGATTTAGTGGCTCCAAAACTCTACACACCATTGGAGGTAGTCAACACCGCCTTAAACAGTTTCAATTTATCAGCACTATAAAACAAGATACCTGCTCTCTCTTGCTAACCATCTTGACATTGTGATTCCAGTTGCCCAGGTTGCTTTGCAGTGAAAACACTTACCCTTAGCTTTTTCACGAGCTAAACACTTTTGCATAGTAGATGACACTGTTTTAGGCATTATGCCTTGTGAGCATTTTCTTCTATCTACCCTGTTCTGAGCAGAAAGAAGAACCGTCGACTAACATTAAAGCCACAGTTCAGCTCCGTGGACCTTAATGATAGTTCAGCAGCCACCAGCTAATTCAGCAAACTTAGACATTAGTGAAATCACTTATCATGTTATAGTTCAAATCAAACGAAACTGCTGAAAACTGGCTGGCAAAGTGTTCAAGATCATTTCTATCTGTGTAGCATTGTCAACCTCAGCACCAAGAACCTCCATGTTATTCAGAAGACTCATCATCTTCAAGACATGAGTTCTAACTGGGGTCCCCTCCTCCATTTTGGAAGTAAGAATCTCCCTCAGTGCGTTTTGCCTTGCTGCACTAGTTTGATCTCCAAACATCTCCTTGAGATTTTCGAGCATGTCAAAAGCTGTGTCCATCGTCTGATGCTGATGTTGCAAAACATTTGGCACAGAAGCCAAAATGTAACATCGCGCCATCTCATCAGCTTTAACCCATTTCTGGTAAGCTCTGGTGACCTCCTCAGAGGCACCCTCACCGGGTTTTGGGTTTTCAGGACAAATCAGTAAGCACCAAAACTTTACTCTCTCAGGCAGTAAGCAAATGTCCAAATTTCCTTCTTCCAGTCAACATCAGTTGACCCTCAAGTTTGTTTTGGTTAAGAGTGTGTGCAAGGGACTGAATGAGCCATTTCTATATCATGCATTAAATCAAAAATAGCATATCAATAAAAACATTGATAAAATCAATAAAAATTGCAAAATACAACACTTATATCACAATTTTCAAAAAAAAAATAACATTCACAACATTCATGGATAGGCACCTCAGGGTCGAGAATTCAACCAAATCACATTTTGCCATATTCATAATTAGATAAAGGACGCAATACTACTCCGATGGAGGATACATGCCTCTAATTAACATTAATGTGTGAGAAATATACATCTGATTCAGTCACTTAATTAATAATTACTCAATGAGAGTTAAATCTAAATACAGACCAATTAGGACTAGTTCAAGTAATTATATTAAAAACATGACATCCTCCGATGGGGAAGAAATGCAAAATAATAACAACTAGAAAGAATAAGAACACTTTCACATAATTAAGTCATATAATTAAAATAAATATTAATATAATCAAACATTGCAAAACAATTTAATAATATTTTTTAAGACAATGTTGCAAATTAAAATAAACCATTTTTGGTGAAAAATGTTAAAAATTTAGTGTTCTGGTCATTTATGCAAAAAAAATTAAACATGCTGGGCTTTATCGTAAAAAACAGAAAAATTCTGAGGCCATTTCGCAAATTTCAGAACTTTTTGGACTATTTTTCATAAAAACAGAAACATTGTGCTAAAATTTGCATAAAACCGAAATAGCTATGCACAATTTTAATAAACCCAGAAACAATTCAGGGTCACTTTATATTTAATAACTCCAGGGGCCAAAAAGGGAAAACTGATACTTTCTGGGTTCACAAATTTAAAAAAAAATTAAAAGTCAGGGTTAATATATAAAATTTAAAAAATAGAGACCAGACGGAATTTGGCAAGCACAGCTTCTTTTCACGGAAAAGAAGCCCTAGCCAGCCGCTGCCCTTTTCCCTCATGAAAAACAGAACCCAAAAAAAAAAAAAAAAAATATATTATATATATTATATATATTTATATTATATTTATATATATATATATATAATATATATTTTATAAGCCCATTTAAAAACCACAGTTTCAAAAACAATTGTCAGACTGCACTTTTCGTGCTGCACTGTTCCTTCTCAAAAAACTCTTAAGCTCTCTTATAACATGTTACCAATCAAAACAATCAAACAATTGTATAGATCCGATTAACATGACAAAAAATAGCACCAGCATACAGTTGTATGGCTCTTGCATACCAATCGACGGAGCGGGTTAACGCGAAACAACTTTCTTCGAACCATATGAGCAACTAAAAACATCTATCGAACAAATCAATAAAGCTTGACCTCTTGAAGGGCAATTCCTCACCTCTTGAATCGCAGAAGCGCAAATCAATAAACTGAAAAGAGATCTTGGGAGTCACCCACGCATCTTCTGCCAGTAATCCCTAACTATCTCTCTTTTGAAATCTCTGAGTGGCAGAGAATAGTAATAACGTGCGTATTTCATTTCTTAGGTTCCAATCTATATTAAAAAAACCCTCTTTTCGATAGGAAGATATTTTTTAATATAAAATAAAATAAAATAAAAAAATTATTTAATTAAAATAATTATCAAATTATTTTAAAAAACCAAATAATTATCCTATTATTTAATACACCCTAACTTTCCAAATAATTGGGCACTACAGGTGACCGCCGATGAATTAAATTAAATCAGGCTACTACATTATAATAACAAACTATGTAGAACCCAACAATTTCTTAATTATAATAATCATGATATTCCACTCAAAAAAACTACATGACTGAACTCCTTATTTATTACAAGTCCACAACATAATAAAATAATGTTCCCCACATAAATTACAATCTGTCATTTAATAAACTTACTGACAATTATTTAAATCACAATATTAACTTATAAATTGTCGCTCAAACTTATTTCATGTGTCGATATCAAATTCCACCATGCAGGGTTAATACACTTATGAAACCTTATAAGCTTAACTTAAATGGCATCATCAATCTCGAACAGAGACAATGGATTCTATCATTAATTAATATTTCACAACACAAAAATCTTTGTCCCAATTTCACCGAGAAAATTATTCCAAAATGAAACCTCACTTTAATGAATTCACAAGCACAACAATCAAATGTTGCTCATATAAAAAATCCAAGATTTAGAAACAATAAACATTATTTCTAATGTTCTAACGAAATATGTTTAACAGTCAGTATTTAAACATCCATCTCTACTTGTCCAATTAAATAATACAAAGTACTAATCACAATTATGTTTCATTATGCTAATAAACATTCTATTTAAATGCAAATTTCCAATTAAATACAAAGAAATTAATCATCATAGAAAAATCATTCATAGCTAACTAATTAACATATCGGCATTGGTAATAGTATTATCTCTTATCACAAGACCCGAAAATTTATTTCACTAATTTTCATTTAAAAAAACTTAATCATAAATTCTAACCAAATGAAATTCAAGTGGAAACAATAATTTTATTATTTGCCAACCCAACCCGGTTAAAACTTAAGTGGAAAATCTTGTAAATTCAAAGCAAAAATTCCAAAAATTGAGCCAAACCCAC